GGTGTTTAAACACCACTTCCTCTTTAAAAAAGGGGACAAAATAAACTCTGGATTTTCTGAAGAAAACCTGCTCCCGACCAGGTTAGGTTCACAGAGTAAATTGCCATGGTAACTGACTCTGAGTATAAGTTACCTCTCTTTCAGAAACGGGCTTGACTTACTCTGCTTTCTCAGGTTTAACTTACCTCCCTTTCTGAAACAGAAAAACCAGAGTTTCCCTCATTTCAGGGTTAACAAACTCAGAGTTTTCACTTAACCTCCTTTCTGAAACAGGCCCCAGGTCAGCCCAGCAATACCACTAGGATCACTTAAGACAATATCACAACATAAACATCTGTCCCTGTGTTAAAGTGGCCGGGTTAAACATGATTTGTTATTGTATCAACCATGTACAATCATGATCAGAATATTTTAGCCTTTTTTCAATTTAAGTCAATTTAGTCAATCCAATTCTTTTCACAAAATGACTAATATTCCCAAATACTATCAAGCCTTTCCTTCTGCAGGGTTTGCAGTATTTATAATTTATGTGAAAAAAGAGTTGACTCCCCGCAATGTTTTTAAGAAAAGATTTTCTAAAAAATAGGGTTACTCTAGTTAGTTAAAAGATTTGATTAAAAGATTTAAGAACAATTCAAAGTTAATTATAATATGATTATCTTTAGCTTTTTGTTTCCCTAATAAGCCAAGCTTTCATCATTTAGGGGTGTCCTGATCTGTTATTAATACAGTATAGGTTATTATTCCAATAGCGCAGAAATTAATATCAGATTATATCAGCCTGCATCTAAATTTCCGTTAAGGTCATGCTGATAGAAAAACTCTGTTTCAGTTTAAGGTTTCTGTAACCCTTTGGTTAATATTACACGAGTCAGCTGTTGTTGACTATTGCTCTCTGGTTTAGTAGTAGCACTTCATCAAGCCTTTTCTAACATTCTTTAGTCCTGTGCTTGGTTAGCTAAAATATATCACAAACACAAACCTACATTCACAACCTAAACTTTTAATTTTCTTTATCCAACTTTATTCATTTATTCCAAACAATACATTTTCATAATTTTGAATCATTTCTCTTGGCTGTGCTTCTTCCCTTACATTAATGTAGTTGCTATATTTTTTGTCCAATCAGTTTTTAGCCTCTGTTCGTCGCTATGTCAATTAAAATCTGCCCAGGGCCTTCAGAATCAATAGTGGTTTTTGATCTCTCATTAAAAATATTAGTAAAGGACTTTTTTTTTCCCAACCAGTCAGATTTCAGAGTTGCCCCACAGGGCCAGCTAGCGGGGCCCACCCAAACTTCACCACTTTCTGTCTTCTGATTTGTCAGTTAAAGAAAAATCTTTACAGCCAAGTTGAACTAGTAACAGTCTGCATTTTCAATTCACTTTTGTTAAAAGTTTTTCTGGCCTCAGTGGCTGATACTAAATGCAGAGAGAAGGATGGATTTTGTTTGAGTGTGTTATATGTTATTTTTAAACTTCATGCTTTGTTTTATCTGGTAATTTGATGCATATTGATTCTGAATGGCTGCTCATGATGTAAATGTAGCAGAGCTGCGGTTATAGAGTAGAGGTTTACCACTGTTTTAACTGCACATCTTGCATAATTGATCTCTGTATTCAACCTCACACAAATCTTCCTCTCCGTTATACCTGCGCTTGTTACAGTTCATGTTTGTACAACATTGATGGTTTATTTTATTAAATTGTGAAAGTGGTGATATTTAACCCTCGACACCCGTCGTTGCAAACATTCTTCAGTTTCCGATCGACACATTACAGGTTAAATCAGTGAAGCTGTAAAATGGCCAAATCTGATTTCCATCTAAAAACAAATAGATCAAGCTAATCAGCTATCAGCAAGTTGAGACTTTTCACACCAAAATCCTGTATAGTTTTCACAAAACAAGCACTAAACTACCGTCAATCTTAAGTCGTTCAGGCTAACAAACCATAACAGGATTGGATAAACTGTTGCATCATAATATCTTCAATATCCATGTTTTTTGCAGAGATCAAACGGCACTGAGATTAACTGATGTCACCAGCATATTTGTCTGCTTTTAAAGAGTTTTATAATGATGGTCCATAAAAGGCTAACCAATTAGCACCTGGCCTTCTTATATGGATAGAGAATAAATAGATAATTGAAGTTATTTGCTTGTGTTTTTACTGTGGCAGTTGATGGAGTTAAAACTGACAGTCGATGGTCTGGAGAAAGAGAGAGACTTCTACTTCAGCAAACTACGGGACATTGAGCTCATCTGCCAAGAACATGAGAGTGAAAACAACCCTGTGCTCAGCAGGATAATTGATATTCTCTACGCAACAGAGGTACCCGTCCATTAGGACTGATGTTATGTTGATTTTTTCCTCACTTTTATTTCGGAAATCTTCTCGCATTTTTTTCTTTGTCATTTCAGTTAAAAGCAAAAAAGAATCTGAAGGATGTATTTTATTTTTTTTGTTTTACAGGAAGGCTTCGCCCCTCCAGATGAAGACGACCTTGATGAACAAGGTCACCTGGACCAGGATGAATACTGATCTCCTACCACCTTCACCACCCCTTTTTTTTTTCTTTTTTCCCTCATTTTTCTACTCTGCACGCTTTCTAGAAATGCTCCTCTTTATACCTGATCTTTATTGTTTTCTTTCTTAATCATGTTTAAATCATTTGCTAACCAAAATCTCCACCCTCTGTCTTTCCACAACTGCTCCATCTAATTATTTCCTGTTCCTCCTTGCCTCCACTTACACTGTAATAGTAATGTACAACAATATCCCAGTGATTTTAGCATGAGCAATGCATAAAACAGAACTGGAACGAGAGGAATTATAATGAAGCAGAGTTTCTGTTTGTAAAGATTAACAACATTGATTTATAAATGAATATAACTTTTTTTTCTTGAGTGTTTATTTGCCTTTATGCGTGCTGTTAAATGCTACCGTAAGAGCACAGATCCACATTGCTCTAAAGTGCCATCATGACACTCCTTGAGCCACTAAACCTGTAACAAAAGTGACTTTTAAATAACTTTATTTCGTATTTATTTAACTTATATTTTGTTCCAGCTGAATTTCTGTAGCAAAACTGTTGCAATCCTACTGTATGTAAAATAAAAGCCAAGGCCACTTGTGCGGCGGTCTGCTCTTGGGTCGGCGTTAAGCTTTGGTGTTTATGTTGAGGCGGGTTTTAAAGCATGTGAAATGCTAAAGGAAGTTGTTCAGTGCAACAACTTCAGAAATGTGATCAATGCTCTGCAAATATTCCTTATTTATGAGCAACATATCCGAGCATGAGAATGTTATACAGTGACTGTGAATGAGTGATATTTTGTAAATGTGCTTTGTGTGAAAATTTTGTAAGTTGTCTCAAGATTCTGGTTTTATCCCTACAGTATCCTATTGGCTGACAATACATTATCCTTTTAGCTTAACCTGCAGACAGAAAATATGGTTATGTAGCAGTACATCAATCAGTAAAGACATTTTTACATGACAGTTTTCTCTTTTCCTGCTAAAAGTTGTGTTTTATTTTTCATTTGCTGAAAAGTTTACCAGAGCTTTAGCTGCCATTTGAAGGAAAGTTGAAACCTGTGATCCGATGACTGGCAATCAGTACCATCCAGTAAACTACGACACCTCCTTTTCTTTCCTGAGCTATTTTCATTTGCAAACTGGCTGTCATTAGCTCACTGGAACATGCATCTCTTTGACCATGTCCATTGAACAATAATCTTTTGAGTTTTCATTAAATACAAAGTTGTTGAACAATGTCTTTTGTTTTGTGTTATGTGGAAATATCCAAACAGTCTTTGTGTGTTTGCAAAACTTTCATGCTACTCGAAATGTATACCTGCTTTTTTACATAACGGGTGTTGCATTTAACATTTAGCTGTCAAAAAAGGCATATGTTTAAATGTGTGGTTCACATAAGTAATCCAGATAATTGTTTGACAGCTTTTCAAATTACTCTGGGAGTTTAAAAAGGATCAAGAAAAGTGAACCATCCAAAGTAACGCTAAAGAATTCCCAAAAGATGTGATTGGTCCAAAGAAAAATGAGACATTCACCAATTGGCTGGTTTGACTTACTTTCCTTTAAAATTAGGATTCAGTATCATGCAAGCGGTAAGTCTTATTCTTTGGTTTTGAAACTCATTTTATTTACAGCATAATTATTTTATTATTATTTTAAATATCAGGGAAAACTTGTATGCCTTTTTTTCTTACCTTTACGGTAATATATAGAGTCCTGCGTAGTAGGCCTACTTCAAATATAAGACAGTTAATTCCCATTTATAGCAACTTAAGCTGTATCTTTATGTTATTTTACAAAGATTAGGTTGTCTAAAGATAAAAACAAGCTTTTGCTTCCTAAAATAGTTGTCATTTGCTGAGATATTGTGTAATTTCTACTTAGACCCAGCAGAGGACACCAGATCTTAAAAAAGCTATGGTTGTCATAAAGGTTGCATTATAAAATTATCTTCTAAGTCACTAAATAAAAAAATAAAAAACTCGTACAAAAATATACAGAAGAGGAATAGGGGCACTGGAAAAAATGTTAACTGATTTTTAAATTTTATTTCAGTTTAGTTTGGGAAAAAAGTCAGAATTCTGAGATTAAAGTCAAAATTCTGAGATTAAAGTCAGAATTCTGAGAACAAAGTCAGAATTCTGACTTTAATCTCGGAATTATGACTGAATTCTGACAATAAAAAAAGTCAGAATTCTGAGATTAAAGTCAAAATTCTGAGATTAAAGTCAGAATTCTGAGAACAAAGTCAGAATTCTGACTTTAATCTCGGAATTCTGACTGAATTCTGACAATAAAAAAAGTCAGAATTCTGAGATTAAGGTCAAAATTCTGACAACAAAGTCAGAATTCTGACTTTTTTCCCATACTAAACTGAAATAAAATTTAAAAATCAGTTAACTTTTTTTTCCCCATTAGCCCTAATCCTCTTCTGTAAAAATAGGACAATACAAGATGCTAAGCAAAATATACTACAGCTATAAGTATCTAAGGATTTTCTTTATAATAGAACACAAAAATACTATCTTCGATCTAAAGAAATTGTCCTAATTTTTCTTAAGATATTTCATTGTAAATCATTAATTTTTTACTTCATTATTTTTCCACATGCAGTAGTGCCTTGCAGATATCCTCACAGCACTATTTCCCATAGACCTCTCTACATTTTTCCAAGATGTCTATATAATTTTGCACTAATTCTTGCTAAAAAAAAAAAAGTAGCAAGAAGAGAACTATTGTTCAAAGACAGCCAAATTACTCCTATTTTATATTTTGTCATGCTCCATATAATTGACACGGTAATGATGTGGTTGAACAGGACTAACATTTTGTTTTGTTGCGTATTGCAAAAAAAAAAAACAAAAAACTGCAGGTTTTGGAACACAAAAGATCCACATTACCTTAAGCACATCATTGACACATTTAAACACGGTGGTGGCAGCATCATGCTCTAAGACTACCAGAGGTATGTAACTAGTTACATTTAGTCTGTCACATTAACTTTTTGAGCTAGTTGTACTTAACCATACCTTTAAACTTTTGATTAGATAATATTCCTGTAATAATATTATTCTGTACCTTCCACAAGAAACTTTATCTATTTGGAGATCAGCTGAAAGTAGATATACTGTAGTAGATGAAATTTCTTTATCTGTTCCTGACAAGTATTCATAACCTACTGTTAGGATTTCTTTTGTCAGTTTACATGAAAATTTTATTCTGCTTAAACGTCTGATTTTGTAATCACTTTATCTATATTCTTTTATCTTACTCTATTACTTTAAAAACATCAAAATCTACACGTAACTCTTTATATAATTTTAAACATTAAATCAGATGTTATGAGCCAACAATTATTCAATCATTTGAAAAGGAATTGTAAATACTTCACATTAATACATTTAAATAACATGATCAGAGGTGTGAAGGGGGAGTTTTTATTTAAAATTTGAAACAATGCAGAAAAGCAAACACAAATATTCCTGAAAAACTTAACACAAGAAAACAAAACACTCTCACTTAAATGCGGATCTTATGTTTTATAATTGAATGTGAACAACAACAAAAAAAAATATAAGGCAAAAGCTAAAAATCCCCCAAAAAAAGCCTTAATATGAGAACAACAGTAACAAAATTATATTTTTACACATTGATAACAGCAACTCAAGCCAATATCAGATTACCTGTTTCTTGTGTTAGGGCACACTATTTGGAAAAAAAGGGAAAACTTTGTCCTGATTCCTTTTCAAGCTCCAAGCATTTTCTTGACCATGTATCCCGGCATATTGTAGAGGAAGAGGGCCAAGATGGCCAACAGCAGGAGCGCCGTGACGATCTTTATGGTCAGCCACCTGTACTGGTCGCACACCAGGTGCTTTGCCGCTTTGAGTGGGATGAGGAACCAGAGGAGGGCGACATCTGGGCGGCTGTTCGGGCACAGAGAGAAGAACAGCAGGTCTGATCAAAGCTGTGTCTTCTGTGTTATCACATTTGCAGAAAGCAAGGATGATATAGGGATACAAAAACAATCATGGAGAGCGTTACAGAGAGAACCAGAGCTGGGAGAAGAAGATCTTCCTTACTTGGGTTTCTCCAGAGGCTCAGGCTCATTGCGTCCCTCTCCAGCTGGGCTTTTCTCCGCTTCCTCCCCTGTGAGAAGGTGCAGCTCAGCTTCGACTTTACCCTGAAGACATAACCAGTTTAATTTTGGCAACTTGGCTTAAACTGAAATCACGAATCACAACAATAAACATTCTACAGTCACTGATGATAAAACCTCGAACTCAATAATATTGCTGACATTTTGAATTGAAAAAGCTTCCTGGATGGGAAGCGAAATGTCTTCAAACTTGGAAACAAAATCCAGTGGATTGTTTTTTCTTCTTTGGAATGACTATGACCTGGATGACTGAGAATCTTCCTCAGCAGAAGACTGATGAGTGCTTCAAAATCAAAAGAAAACCAGAAAAGCACACGGAGAGCAAATACCTCGGCCAAGTAGCCCATTTCCCCCACATATTGTGACTTCCACCTCAAGTTAATACCTGTATTCACAGAATCTTTAAAAACAAATCCTTGATCCAGAAGGTGATGAACTAAAACCTGCTAATAACTTTTCAAGTTATCCTGCCTTGTCGGAGGTGATAAACATCAAAGCAACGACTAAAAAAATGAAGACAAGTCCGTGCAACTTAACAGAGCCCTAACAAACAAAAACGAAACGAAAACTATTTTGTAATATCTGTGACACACTTTATCAAAGTAAGTGATGAAGAATAATCGGGATGAGTTGCTTTATGTGTGCAGGTAAGTTATCGCTAGTTTTATGCTTCTTTTATTGATATGAAAAACAAAATAAATGTAAGCAGATTTTACCAAAGGAGTTGTGGTACGATAAAAACAAAACATTTAAATATATTAAATGCTTATATAAAAGCATTCAAACATATAATCTTATAAACAGTAAAAATTTGTCTATATTACATGAAGGACTGACTAAATGTCACATATATTTTAACGAACTGATAGAAACAATTAAGTTAAAAAGTTTTTCTCCTGTTGAATCAGCCGCAATGATTATGAGAGCTGGGTATGGATCTGTTGTCCCAAATTTCTAACTCCGAATTCCAGCTTTGAGGGGCTGGAGTTGAAATTTCCTACCCAGAGGTTGGAAATTCTGTCTTCCGGGTACAAATTGAAGACATTATTGCCAGAAGTGGATAATCCAGGTCCAGAAAGTTAAAACTCTGTAAGCTGTTTACTTTCAGGACCTGGATTATCCATCTCTGTTTATTGGGAACAGTTTGGCATTCCAACAAGACATTTGTCCCATTATATCAAAATTACTTTGGAATAACCCAGAATCCAAAGTTATGAATCTAAACTTGACATCAGAACCTCTGTTGATATGACAGAAATAGTCTTACAGCTCTTTGATTAAGAATAACTCACAGTAAGTTCAAATTCATCCTCTTCGTTTCTGGCGACAAATGGCCACCAGCCTTTAATCCTCTTCTGCTTAAAGATGGAGACCAGAGGCATCTCGGCTTCGTTTGTCACCATTTCGATGGTGCACTGTTTGGCTGTCTTTGCACCACGAGGGAAACGGTTTAGGTCCAGCTCAATCGCACCTATGGAGACACTTTGATTTTACTAATCCTTGTGATAGTACATTCAAAACATAACACATTTATTATGTATTTCATTAATTAAATACATCTGGATAAGTAATGTATGTGTTTGACAATGTAAACATAAAGTTTAGATTAAAAAATACCCAGAAAATCATCAGCAGAGAAGTGGTCAGCGTCCCACACTTGGAGATTAAGTCGAGGAGGGATCTTATACTCCGTCTCATCCCAGGCAAACATTGACTCCTTTTTGGAGATGACTATCTTCTCCTCAGCCACCAGGTAGTCGAACGGGTAGATGAAGCGCCAGTTGAAGTTGCCCTCTCCGGTGATGGAGTGGTAATGGACGTCAGTGTCCTGTTTGTCCTCCTGCTGTCCTTTCAGCCATCTGTTGTCATGAATCAGGGGAAAACAAATAGAAAATTAAAGGTTTATCCCTTCGAAATATTTTTTGTTGTGTGATTAAAATCTTTGAAAAAAAGGAAAACATCAACATGTTTACCCTCGTACAAAGATGTCGCTTGATTTCTCGCCAGTGAAGATGTCATCATCCTCTAAAACAACCTCATCTGTGTTCCAGATGATGACCCTAAGTTCAAACCTGCATAAGAAAAAAGGTAATTATGAGATGTAGTGGAATTTATCAGCAGTGATTTGGAAACTGATCCCTTTATGTTCTTCTCCCAAAAGCTTTGATTCATACTTCTTTGGTTTTCTTGGTGAAATGTCAAGAGCAGGACCTGGTGCAGTCTTATCCTTGGGGAACATATCCACCCACATCTCTATTCTTCCCTGTACACAGTTAAATGAATGATAAAAGATGCCTTTCAGGAGAAAAAAAAAAGAATAACAGAAATTCTAACTTGCTTCAGCTTTACGCGTTGTTAACATACTTGTTCGATTCCTGGTTTATCCGGATGCAGGAGCGGTCTGGTTTCTACATGCTCTGGGACCAGTTTGCAGCCGGCTTTAGGAATTTCCTCCCAGTGCCTCAGCACAGAGAGAGCCAGGTGTTCATCCGTCTTCTTCTTCAAACCTGAAATATATTATTAGACATGTCATTTTGCAAAACTCTTAACTTTCTTACAATTTTTCAACAGATCTTCAAAAGGTTTTGCGTGCCTAAAATTTATGCAAACTGAATAGGGTGTGCAAAGTGGATCTTTATACATTTCTGTGTATAAAATGTATGCAGAATGCAAACCACCTGCTTATAACCAAAATATTGCTTGAGATGTAAATCACTGACCAAACAATTTATCCAATCTAAGACTCAGTATAAACACAGTTTTTACGTCTATATTTATATTTAGAAACATCCACTTCTTGAAAATATTTTGGGTTTTTTTTGTTGTTTTTTGCTGCATCAATCATGTGCTCCGTATTTGGAATCTTTACAGATCAGGCCTAATGCGTTTTGTTGAGATTTTCTGTGGCAAATCAGCAAAAAGTAGCATATGAGCCTGAAGGGAGCATAATGATGCACTTTTTGAAAAAATTGTTTTCAATAAGAATATAAAAAGTGTAACTTGCGCTTGCATTCAGTCAATACTACGTAGAACCAGCTTTCACTGTAACATGTAACAAGTGTTGCAGGCACCTGTGACCAGTAATTACTTAACATTAGAAATTAGATGTGGAAGTTGGCTGGGTGTGTCTAATGCTATTATCCACTGGACTTGAATTTAACTAAATGAAGCGACGTAATCTTTGCAGTAAATGTGTTCCAGTTTTCTGTTTGTAAGGGGAACCTCCACTCCAGTTATAGGTCGTTTACAGCCTCTAAGGTGTAACACACGTTACTTCATTATGCGCTCATTAGCAGAGCTAAGCTTGACAGCTGCTAGTGAGATAGCTTAGCCAGTTGGTTCAGGCGTGTACGGCAAGAGACACATCTAAAAGTTACAGGACACTGGCCCTTTAGTCATTTTTTTTTTCTATAATTCCCCTTAATTGAGTTTAATTTACCTTCCAGCTAATTCTGGGGATTTTCCCCTGTTCAGCATCTGCAAAAGAAAAATAATGCAACCACTTTTGGCATTTATTTAATCATATTTAGTTACTTTAACACAATTGTTTTATGTCCTACCCTGCTAACATGCAACAATTGTGTTAAAATAACTAAATATGATTAAATAAATGCCAAAAGTGGTTGCATTATTTTTTCGGTGGGCAAATTTCAATTTTAGCCTCTTGTGACCAGAACACCTACTTCAACATGGTGGCTGTGAGAAAACTACACGGAATTTACGACTATGTTTAATCCTGTCTGGTCCTCACTTTGGTAATCATGACGCTGTTTGTCTACCCAACCAATAAAGAATGAAAACCACTGTTATTTTAAAACATAAAGTCAGATTTCTGTACAAGCCTTTGACCATCATCAGCCTCCTGACTCCTTTCATATATACATTCATTTATTTTTATCATTTCAACACAATGCTGTCCCTCAGTATCAAGGCAAAGCCTCATAGTACCAAGCTCTAATTTTAGTGTGTTTTACCCCTTAACTCCATGCAAGACTTGTACAGTAAGACTTGATTATCTAATGACTTTCATCAATCCATGATGGCAAGTTTGACCTCAACTCCACATTTCCAAAGAAATAAACTAATGATATGAGTTCAAGTTTTGGACATATTTGACCCAATGGTAACCATTTTGATAGTTTTCCTAATATTCCTTGTGGTAGAAACCAACCGTTTTCATCCTCGATCTCAGTTGGCGCCATGAAGACACGGTTCTCCACCTTCACTCTTCCTTCGGGGCCGTAGTGAGGGCCGTCCAGTTTTCCATCCTTGCACAGCTTCGCCAGGATTTGAGTGGGTTTCATTGGGTCTCGCCACACATTGTAACCATGACTGCACAGCAAACATGATAAAGTACATTTATTTGTGAAGTTATTCTGAAGTAGTCTAAAATAAAAGCTATGAAAGCTGTACCTTCACTAACTTGAGAAAAAGTAAATTTACTTTATGCTAACAAGAGTTAAATCTCAGATCCTTACATTGCATAGCTGGATGAAATCCCACATGTGGCTCTGTGTTTGCTGTAGAAACGATTCTCCAGATCCAACTTTGTTTCTCCAATCAGATCATCTGTTCCCACCAGATCCCAGTCATAGATTGACACTGTCAGAGTGGAATCCATGGGGAACGTAACTTCCACATCAAAGGATCTAAGACCACAAGAAATGTGCTTTCAATCAAATCTAAGAATACAGTAAAAATTTGAAAAGATGCCGTTAAAATAAAATCTCTCCAGAAATCCTGTTTCTATCCAGACACTTACTTGCCAAACAAGGGGTTCAGCTGTTTGGAAATGTAGTTTTCCTTATCTTTGATTTCTGTTTTTCCCAGCTTAATTGCGATGTAGGGGTCAGCTTTCCCATTGATATCTGCTGGATGCAGATCTGTCGCCTATTGATAAAACATCAACATTTCAGTGTTACAACAATTAAAGTCCTTGTAAATATGACTTGATTTTAGCTGAAAGAGTAATTACATTAATTTGCATTGAGCTTCAGAGCGTTTGGACTTACCCTGACTACATAAATGCGGACAAGGACATTTATCGGATCATTGTTAGGAATGTTCTGAAACATTCCTAAATTGGAGTCAAAGTTCATCTCTCTCTGTGTTTCATCTGACACTTTGTACATGCACAGCGAACCCTTAAACAGAACAGTTAAAGGAAAGAAATGGAACAAAATAACTGATTGCTGGTGATTGTTTTGATTTTGCATATAGATCCGTTTCTCACCTTGAACTTTCCAACAATCCTGTCCTCATCTGTGACATTTTGGTCGTCATCGTCACCCCCCTTTCCTCTAAACAGGGAAAAGGTGTGGAGCCAGTCCTCAAAGTTGTCAAATTCACTTTCCAGTTCCTTTGGATACACCTTGTTTATGAAGAGAACATACAGTATTATAAGACCTTGCTAATAGACATCCACCATGATGACTTTAGAAACATAACATCATATTGAGTGATCCTCCACCTTAAGCTCATCCAACTTGGGCTTTTTCTTCTCAAACGGATCCACAGCTTGTCTCTTCTTGTCTTTCTTTCCTTTTCCTTTCTTGGGGCTTTTTACTAGAGAGTCTTCAGCTTGCCACACAGATACAAAAAATATATATATTCAGAAAAGGAATATTGGAGCATAGCACTCAGGCTTGAATTTAACCCCATCAGCTTTTAAACACAGTATTTCATTGTATTAGACACCTCTGAACTGAAAACAAACTTTTGTATTTCAATTTCTATATATTTAAGTGTTAAATTTGTATACACCTACAGTAAAACTAGAAATAACAGCTTAGAAATTTTTGTAAAACACAACTTTTTACCATATTTCAAACGGCTATCAAGCCTAAATGGTACACAAGCTTATGAAGCTAATAAAGGGTTGTATAACTTTAACATAATAGTACAAATAGTGAATAAGATTCTAGAGCTCATATGATGGCCGATGAATAACAAAGAGACAGGCTGAAAAACCAGGGGTCATCATTATAAATATATATATATTTTTTATCTGTATTGGAATCAAAGATCTTCCTGAAATCATGCAGCCTTTTTAAAAAGAAAAAAAATATGGGCCCCAAGAGGAATCCTTGAGGCACTCCGCCTTTAATAATTCTACAGAATAATTGTTAGTGTAATTTGATGTTTTTTATTTATTGAGCATTGAACTATTTAAGTGTAGTGATTTTTGCTATATCATTTTAGGCCTTTAAATATTGAAAGGAGAATTGAATAGGAGAAAATTAGCTTGTAAAAGTTGATCATGTATGCATCCATCTAATGAAACCAACTATAAATAATTGATTATAGCAGCTTGGTTGGCTTAGATTCTTTGAAAACAATGAAGCAGCCATATTAAACATCAGAATGGGAAGGAGTAGGTTGGTCACTTCCATACAGAAAGCCCATATCCTTATCTTCAGCTACCACAGTATAATACTACTTATACTTCAGCGATAGTATCTAGGTGTTACTTTATTGTATGTCTTGTACCATGTCTGTTGGTTGTGCTGTTCTTTTTACATCTCTTTCCAGGTGATGAAGCAGACTGAAAATGTTTTATCATTATCTCCCTTTTATCTCCTCTTTCTTTAATCTTTTCTCCTTTTTTTCTGTTTTTCCTTTCCTGTACTACTTACATTGCAGTGTGTATATATAATCTGTAAAACTCCCTGCATAATTATAATAAAGCAATTTATATGCATAAATCAAGCTGAACACTATGGCGATAGCCATACTGTTCCACTTGTGAAAGTAAAATCTTTCAGTTAAAGTTTTCAATGTCTCTTTTTTTTTTTACCTCCACCATCAGCAATGTCCATGTCTTCCTTTTCTTCTGAATCTGACAGCGCTGCCTCTTGAGCCTTGAGAGCCTAAAACAGTGGGAGCGTTTATTTCAACTCGTCTTATTTAATTATTTTTTTCTAGTGTATTTATATCTGAAAAACTGTAACTCACCTCAGTTAAAGTTTCAATAGAGGCAAAATATTTGGACCACCAGTCCAACATGCTCTCATCAAGCTCCTCCTCCTCAGGCTCCTCCCCCTTCTTCCTCTTCTTCTTTTTGCCCTTCTCATCTTTTTCGTCATCCTTTTTTCAGTGCGTACCATGCATATTGTCAGGTGTTAGAATAAATCAGAAACATATTTTTATTTGAATTAGACAGTACTGTATTTTGAGCTTTGCTCACCTCGACTTTGACCACAGCCTCGGAGCACTGGTGAGAGAACAGCAGATTTTACATTTACAAAGATTATTTAAGAACAATCTTGGTAACATAAAATGCAGACCATGTTTATTTGAAATTATATGAGGTATTTTGCCTCGGTCTGCATCATTAAATCGAGGCTACGGTAATAAGTATAAACTTACAGAGTCCAGTTTTACCACTGTATCCATCTTCTTAAAGGCAGGCTCAGTTTCCATGCTCACCACAATAATTTCCTCTGAAAGACAAACATATGATTTAAATCAAAAATTTATAAACCTTGAAAAAAAACTACCTGACATTAAATTAAACCAAACTTTTCCTGTTTCACTCAAATAGGATGACAATTATTTGTAAATGATAAATAGCAGAATTTTGAAGAGTTTATTTTGGTTACTGTCTTTAAATGTAGGAGGCAACATACATTTCCTTAGTGTTGGAAAGAATGGCAAATCATAGCTGTATGCCTTTGGTTAAATTTGTTAGATCTTTCACAATATTTTGCAGGATTTTGGCCCATTTTTCCTGACAGAACTGGTCTACCTGAGGGGAGTTTTAAGGCTACTAGCGTACATCTTTTTACCACTGAGCAAAGTGACCAAAGCTCAGTCTGAGCTCAAGGACTTTTTGGCCTAAAAACCATTGACCTTGTTGTCTATCAGTCCCCTTGCGCCACATGTTGCAATTTGGTTAGGACCATAGTCTGTTTAGAAGACCTATTTGTGTCCACAGTTCAGTTTCTTGGCTGATTGTCTTAAATTGATGTCTGTATTTAAATATGTGTTATTTTTATGTTTTAAAACCTCCACTATTAAACAGATACAGTTTCATATGTAACAAATATTGTATTAGTTCATATAAAAGGCTGGTTACGCATTTGCAAAATGACATGACAGTCTGTCGTCTTAAAAGTACAGATGCAGATGGATAAATATTACTAGCAACAACTACGCGTTTCTCCATTGCTGGCAGTGCAGTGTGATTTAGAGGCAGCGGTAAAGATCATTTGGAGACGCTAACCCAACAGCTGAGAGTCTGCAGCTCAGTGCAGGACCGCATCTGCAGCAGCAGCATAAGAAACTATTTCAGCATCCAGAAGGAGGCAAAAACAAAAGTGGAGACAATAAAAAATGAGGATCATCATCAGGTAAGCCTTCTCCAGGTGAAAGGCGCTAATAAAGGAGAAAAATTTGAAAAGGGATGCTGAAGTTACCATGTTTCTCCTTGACAAGTAAATGAACTGTACTAATAAAAAATGTGAGTAAACTGAACTTTTTCCATTCGGATCAATTAGACCGTGTGGCTCGTTACCATAGAAAGCATAACAGTAGATCCTGTAAACATAAACCAATCTTGTTAGTACAGAATTGTAGGTTTATGCGGGTTTAGTAGCTTTCAAAGCTGCGGTGAATGTTGGCTTTTTGTAAGTACCAGCTTGTAAAGATTTCACTTTGGATGACATAGTTACATCTGTGTTACATCTGCGTTTGACACACAGCAGCTACTGTTGCCCCAATATGTGTTTGAGGCAGCGATGTAATATGGGATAGTTTTCGCTTCAAGGAAATACCCGCTTTTCATCTCTAGATGGCAGCAATTCTGACACAATATCCCTTTAAGAGGTAGCTTTAGCTTCCTTGTGAAGCCAAATATTTAGTAAAATGCACCAGTCATTCTTACAGAAATCCCCCCATAAAACATTTTTATAATTTCAAACAATGAAGTGGTGTCCTTGAGAGGTTACCTCAGTTTTACTGAAATGTTGATCGTAACCTGTTGGGAGCTAAATTGCT